TCTCATTATTTCATTGTATTCCCAGGTAATTATGGTAAGCCATGCTGGAAGTTATTTGTGGAGATGCCAGATTATTTTATTGGCATCTCATTAATATTAGCTCTTGATGCTATGGAAGCACAAGGCTGGCCAGGCCGAATTCATTGTGGTTGTTCCCTTGAAGGTCGCCGGTGGCCTCCTTTCTTGGTAAATACAATGGCCTTTCCTCTAAGCAAGTCTGTTTTGGTCTTCTCTGACTTCTCTTTTTTCTTTTTCGTCTCTTTTTGTCCCTCCACCCCCTCCCAGACAACCCTCCTTCATAAAGAGGAAGAAAAAGAAAACCCTTGCGAAAGCAGCCAAGCTATCACAAAGTCTGAGGCACCTCATGTGACGTTCTGCCCAGGTTTCCCCTGTGTCTGTAAAGAAGGAGGGGGAGGTGTTTCCTCATCTGCCTTCTCTGGGGCCAGGCTTGGGCACTGGGCTTTCACAGCCTTCGGTTTCAGTTGTTTTGTTGTTGTTTCCATTTCTATTGTGTCTGTTTTTTTCTTGGTTCAGATGACTCTGCTCTGTACCAGTTCATGGAGGTCTTTCTACACTTCTCTGTATTCTTGCAGATAGTATTACATTGTGTTGTGTATCACAATTTGTTTAGCTGTTCCCCAGTCAATGAGCAGTGCTCCCCAGAAGCCCATCTTGGGCGCAGCCCATCTGGCACAGGCAGGGCTCTGGCTTCTCCCAGGATCTCAGGGGAAGGCAGCTGGCAAGTACTGCCCCAGCAACAAACCCATCGGAGGACCCATCCACCTGCCTTGGCTCATTTATCACCAGAGCGACTGGCTGGTCTCCGGCGGATGGACGGTTTAGCCACTGGAACAAGATGAGAGTTGTAATTTGTATTTGTTGGGAATAGCCCTAGCGATAAAGTAGGTCTTCAAAGTGTAAGTTAAATAGAAGTTTATGGACTAACTTGGAAATTTAATTGCTGTCGGTAACATGTTTATGGTTTTTAAAAAATGGCCACCAGTTTCAAACAGCTTGGATTAAATTTTGGAAGGTAACCCATTGTAAATTAGAAGATTCTTATACACACATGCAAATTATAGGCACTAGAGTTTAGGCTTCTTCAAATGTAGAGAAGTTTTATTTAGAAAATTCTGTAGTTATTCAGGCCCAAGACCCCCCCTTCCCAATCTAGTTCTTTCTCCAGAAATTATATCTTCAACATCCTGCTACCCTGAGGCTAAGCGAAAACTGTCTAACTGAGGAGCTATCGAGTGGGTTTGGTCCAGCCCAGCTGTACCGGCCTGGTAGCACTGCCCTGGGGCCTTCTAATGGACGTCTTCACCACGCTTGGAGTTTCTAGGATACTGTTTTCTGTGAGTTCCTTTGTTACCCACTGTTCACCTTCACCTTATCGATGAATATCACTGGGTTTGGCTCCCTTTCGCCTTCTGTTTAGGTCATTCTAAACAGTCTTTCTTTTGTTGGATAAGATCTTGGGGGAGCCCTACTTTCCCAGCTCTCTCATTCTGTTCTTTTCGAGCATTTAGCTGTCTTCAATTAGTTCATGATGGCCGGTGCAAACCCAGCTCTTTTCTGGGTATACCCGCTGTTGTGTGCTTCTTGGAAAGGTGGTGAAAAAATGAGCTGTAAAGGGCTGTGGTGGAAGAGGGGGATAGAGATGTGGAGGAGTCTGGGGACACACTAGTAGGGCCAGGCAGAGAACCTCGTGGCCATGAAATGTGTATTCTGCTCTTAACTGTGGAGCTTGGAAGGATGAGTGTACCAGCTTACAGAGTGGGAGCACCTTTCCAAGTCTGCCACTTTGGCAATCCAGGGCATCTGGGTCTTTGAACCTTGCCATGGCTCTGGCTTGGCCTCTTCTCTCTTTTCTGAACCCTTGGTGATCTCTGTCCAGATTACTCCCAAATCTCCATGTCAATCAAGCATTTATTAAATTAAAAATTAAACAGTAGCTGCCCTCAAGGAACTTAATTCTGTTGTGGGAGGGGAGAGATAACACCTCTACTAATACATTTACGCTAGGTCATTTGGTGAGGAGTCACTAGTAGCTGCAGGATCTGAAAATGCTTTCGTATATATGTATATATGAACTATATCCTGAGCTCCGGTGCTGTTACCACCTGCTTGCTAGACCATGTTTCTCCCTGTCTGGTACGACATCTCAGGCGCAGTACATCCAGAGTACCGATCCCTCTTCCAAGCTTCCCTTTTTCTGTTGAGGGTGCTAATATGCTTCCATTCATCCAGGTTCAAACCTGACTCCATCTCTACTCCTAACAAGAGTTCTGGCAGCGTAGTGGCCCAGTGGATAGAGCACTGACCTCAAAGAAGCTCACGAGCTGGGTGACCTTGACTTGTTCTCTGGGTTCTGCTCAGTTCGCTCTCTATCAATTCCTACCACCCTGGATTCTCTGAAATGATCTTTTGTAGCTCATTAATCTGTTAGATTCACCTAACACACTTTGTTCAGCCATTCTGCGACTGATGGGTCAGATTCCAATTCTGTTCTGTTCTTTTCTCCCCTTTTGATGCTTGTTCAGGGTCATGAAGTTTGTTTTGCTTGGGACTGTTTCATCCTTAGTATTTTCCTCCCTCTTACTCCTTCCCTACCCCTGCTTGTCTCCTTATTGAGTTCAATGTATCCCTGCGCCAAACTATGTGTACGTGTATGTGTTCAGCCTTCCTTTGTCTGTTTCAGATAAGAGGCTCCTTCGTACATTCCCCCCACCTCCTTACCTCTGTGTTTGCATCCTCTTCCCATGGACTCCAGTTATGAGAAACAGCATCTTCTGCTCCATTGTATCTTTCTACACTCCTGTGTTCCTTTTACCCTCCCTTCTCTTGCCCCCTTACGCCCTCAGAACAGAACTAACATTCTGCCACGTCATCTGTTTCTCTTATTTAACTCTATACCCTGTAAAGGGGCGCTTTACTTCACCTACTTGACAATGTTAGAACCTAACTCTGCAGTACAAGCCTTTTGAGTTGCTCAAATCAGTTTACCTTTCTAGGTTTCTCTTGGCTGTTATGTTTGTATTTCAAAGTTCTTACTCATCAGAAGTCCTTGAAAGACCATTATAATTATTATTTTTTTAATCTCTGTAGTATCGTACTCAGCTTTGCAGGTTACGTTATTCTTGGTCGTAACTTATCGTGTCTTATCTTTTGGGATGTTGAATTCCAAGATCTCATTTGTAGTAGAAATTAGCTGGTCTTATGTTATCTAAGAAGTGGTTTCTTGGGTGCTCAAGTTGTTTCTTTTTGAGTGATTTCAGTAATTTTTTCTTTGGCCTGAAAGTCCTGGATTTGGCTTTGGTGATCCTGAGACTTCCTTTTGAAGTTTCTTTTAGGGGGTGATCAATAGAGTCCTTCTCTCTTTACTTTTCTTTCTTTTTTTTTTCTTTTCCATTAGGCAATGGAGTTAAGTAATCTGCCCAGGGTCACACAGCTAGTGAGTGTTTTGTGTCTGAGGCTGGATTTGAACTCAGGTCCTCCTGAGTCCAGGGCCGGTGCTCAAGCCACCTAGCTGCCCCTCTTCACTTTTCCCTGGGCACTTTTCATTTATGATTTCTTGAAGTCTAGTGTCTAGACCTTTTTTAAAATCATGGTTTTCAGGGATTCAGTGATTAAGTTTTTTCTCTCCTTAATCAGTTTTCCAGGTCATTAAACTGACTGACCTTCTTTGCTGCTTCCTCTACACAGCATTCCTTCTCCAGCCTCTGGAGACCCTCTGCTGGCAATGCCCTCCTTTCTCCCTCATAGTATCTCTAGTCTCGTTTAAGGCACTTCTTGGTGCCTTTTCAAAGCCTCCCAGTTGTTGAGTCTCTTGACTCATCTGTATGTATGTCGTGACCTTCTGGACCTTCTCAAGGAAGGTCGTTTGAGGGGAAGAATGGGAATTTTTATTTTACTTTCTGGTTTTGGTTCTGCACTTAAATGTTTGATTTGCGTTTGAGTAGAAACACAGCCAATATTTTTCTTTTGAACTATGTCATTCATAATGAGTATGATGTAATGTAGAAAGGGTTTTCTCTTGGTAAAGGACCAGAGACTGAGCAGGAAGGGAAAAAATAAGTTTCATCTTACACAGAAATAGGATAATGATCACACTGGAAATGTTTTTTTCACTTTACAGTGGAATAGGGAAGGGAGACTTCCAACTACAGAGAAGAGAAGCTGAAATGCTTAGTGTTCTAGTATGGCAGTCAGATTTTTGAGATGGCCACCGATGAGTAAGGAGCACATTTTCAAAACCGCAGGTGTGACTTGAGAGAATTGATGGGGAAGCTCGGAGAGGGTTAGGGGGTGGCAGTGGGCGGATGTTCTATGACACGTGGCCCAGACCAGATGGGTGTGTCACTGGGCCTTCTGTGGAGTGGGGTGGGAGACTTGGATGAGAGGATGGGGAAATGGCCATGATGGGAAAAAAAAAAGCTTCACTAAAACATTTAAAAAGAGGGAGAGCCCCAGAAGCAGGTGGCTTTTTATTTGTTTTCTGGGGTTTTCTATTCACTACATCCTGTGCTAGTAATGGGAGGAGCTGAGTAGCCTTTGAGCTCCTGAAGGCGAGGCCTTTCTCGCCATCCCCACTGTTTGGCACTGGCCCTGGCACATAGTAGGCACTTGATTCGTGCTTGTTCACTCCACTTGCCAGGGTCCTTAGAACTGCAGACTTTGGTTCTCCAGAAGTGCGTTCTTTTGTTTTGTGAGGACCTGGGCCTTCAGGATTACTTGTAGGAGCAGGAGAGTAGGGCAGTCCACCTTTTCCCCTAAAGCCTTTGCAGGGGCCAGATAAATAAGAGCTGTGCTTATCTTCTTGTGTTGACCACAGTGTGACAGCTTCTGCTTTCAGGACTGTGCCTGGATTTTTTCTGTCTCATGGCCAGTCTGGTCTTTTGGCGTTAACCGAAGACATTACGCCCTTTTGCCTTAAATGTCTTGGTTTTCTCTGTGCTTCTGATCTTTTCCTTGTCTTTGTTTCCCCCTTTGGTTTGCAGGTGCTGTCTCTGGTGGCCTTTATCTGTGAAGAGGTTGTGTCCCGCTGCACGCGGTGTGGAGGCCTTTACTTTTTTGAGTTTGTTAGCTGCAGTGCCTTCCTCCTGAGCCTGCTCGTGGTTATTGTCTACTGCACCAGTTTGTATGACAGAGTGGACCAAAACAAAGTGAAGAAGTCGGTGAGAGCTCCTGCACCATCTCCCCACCCAGCACCCAGGACCCTTGCAGAAGTGGTCCCCTAATTAGTGGGTCTTAATTGCTTGATTAAGAATGGGCTTTCAGCAATGAGCCAGGCAGTCACTAGAGGTTTTTCTACATACTTATCTCTTACCAACATTTCCCTCTGCCACATGGAATGATAGAAGGAAGATACACTGTGAGGTTTAAGATGAGAAAGAAAGCAATATCCTAAGACAAAAGTGTTTTTAATTAATATTTTGATATTTACACGTATTAAATTCAGAAGAACATTAGAATTGTTGCCTTCAGTACTTTTATGGGGGTTTGTGAGTCCTGTGGCACCCTGGCTCTGTTCTGTAATGTGGCTGCCATTTTAAGCACAGTTCCTAAAAAGGAACCTTCCCTTAAATGTGTTGTCTTGACATTTTCACCTCTGTAAGAGGTCCATCCGTTGGGATGTTTTAAATTGTCTATTCTGGAAAAGACAACTTAGATAAAGATGGTGGTCTTTCAAGGAAGAAAAAATCTTGGCTGTGCCCTATTTTCAGTTTCTCTGGCAATCTAACTCGTTAAGAGATGCAGCTCTCTGAGGGATTCTTCAGCTTAATAGATACTGAATGTTACCACCAGGGACTGGAACAGCACAGGGAGAAAGGCCAGTGTCTCACAGCTGATGGCTTAGAGACTCAGCCTCCCTCGGCCTTGGAGAGAGGCCAAGGCTCTTCTGTAGGCTGCAGCGGCATCCTTATTCTATAGAGTCTGGGGATTCCAGCCTCACACCAATTAATGCTGTGCCTCCAAATTGGCTTCTTTGAAGGAAGGTTGAACATTGAGCGCAAAGACTGAATTTCCTCTTAAACTGATTGTATGTATCAGAGATTATGCCCTTAGAGAGTTACTTTGCAAAATGTCAAAACTTTATTAAAAAAGGAAAAGATGGCTTTTGTTATGTAATGAGAGACAGTAGATTTCAAAGCCTCCTCTGCCGGGTAGGTGGGTGATCTAGCCCACAGGCAGTGTGGGATTGCTGTTCTAGATTATGGGAAGGTCGCAGATCACATTGGATGGAATAGAGGTGGTGCTTCCTCATCTATTCTGGCTTGATCAGAAAACAAACAAACCCCAACCCAGTTAATAATTGCTTTTTTATTAAGAAAACCACAGAAATGATGAAGAGTAAGAGCTTAGGATAAAAATGAAGAAGGAAAGCTCTTTTAAATGGAAAGAAAAACATTTGTTTCTTAAATCATAAGATCATTAGGTTTAGGAGGAGAAGGAATCTTGTCATGCTTTCATTTTACAGTATAGAAAACTGGAGACCACAAAGTGAAGTTGCTGCCCCAAGTCACAGTGGTTCTAATTCTAATTAGACTCAGGATTGGAACTCAAATCCTTGGGCTTGAAATCCAGTGTATTATTTTTCAGTGATGCTCACACTCTGCCCCCTTCCCTCCCATACAGACATACATACATATAACTTTTTTTCTTTTCAAAGAGATTTCATTGTAGGGAGGTGGCTGTAGTTGAACCAGTACAATTTAAGTGACACAAAAAGTGAGCGGCCTATCAGGCTGTCTCATGTGGCTGTGGACGTGTAGGTCTCCTGAGGGCTTTGGAAGTTACACATTGAGTTATGATGTAGTGGGGGTGGGAAGCTGGTAGCAGGTAGTGGAGTTGTGGATTCCTGTTCTGTTCTGCTTCCTCTATGGAAATGCCCATGTAGCTGGTGTTTATTACATTTTGAATAAAAATAATTTTTTAAAAGAAAAATCTAGCCAAAAAAAAGAAAGAAAAGAAAAGTCTGACCTTCCAAAGAAGCTTTAGCATAAAGTGCTGGGCACCCCAGGGTCGGGGGGGGGTTCCCCTTTGCCTGTAGCTCAGCAAGGTTGAGCTGCTTCAGCCTGTGGGCAGGAGCTGAATACCTGGGGAGAAGCCTGTCAAAAGGACCAGTCTCTGGAATAAACCCAGTCTAAAAGTTGAGTAAAGCTTTGGCTAGGCTGAAGGTTGGATCACTTCCCTTAAGAGAAAACGTTTCCTCCTCACTTTGTGGGGTTTGTTTTTTGTTAGACAAATATTGAACTTGACTTTTCCAAATGCTTACCTTGGTCTCTTTCCCTTTGGCTGTGGATCCCAGGATGTCTATATCACTGCGATAACTGGGTTAATGTTTTTGATAGCATCAATAACCTTTGCTTGCACCAGTGATGGGACCTCACCCGAAACCGCTGCAGTTGTAAGTAGATGTATCTTCTTCCTTGTCTTCTTTTCCTAATGAACTTATTTCCAGTTTTTTTTTGTTTCTTTTAGAAGTTCTTTTATCCAACCTGAATTTCCGCAATTAGCTTTTTAGACAGTCCACCAAAAGACTGAAAGGACGGTCAGTGCTTTGCCTTTGTCTCCTGGACTGTGTGATTATCAGTATCGTGGAGTTTGGGGAGATGTTGTTGAGCTAAATTTCGCTGTTCTCTGTAGGATCATCACCTGTTTCCTCTGGTTTTTAGGGCAATGGGGAGGACTGCTTGAGGCGCTGTCAGTGAAGCCAGCCTCAGGCAGTGTGTTAGTGGTGGGACCGTTTCACTTTTCTCTTCTTCTTTGGAATCCTTATCCTGCTGTGGCTGCAGCCTGGCTCCTCCCAGCCCTGAGGACACCCCCACTCCCTTTGCCTTCTCTGCCCCTATTCCTAAGCACTGCTGGCAGGGTCCTTGCCTCCAATGGGCCCTCCCTTTTTAGTGGCCAGCCTTTCCCCCCCCCCTTAGAGATTTGCTGCCCCATTGTCTATGGCCACGCTGACATTTTTCACCCTCTTCAAGCTCTCAGATTCCCCTGCTCTCCCTCTTAGCAGAAAACTCTGCCTTCCTGCTCTGTTGACAAGAGTGTTCTCAACTGTCCCTCCCCTCAAAACTTCTTAAAGCCTCTCTCATGCTTTCACTGTCAGAAGAAGAGATGGCTTTCCCTCTGCCCTTACTTGCTATTACAGCTTTGAGGTCCTGTTCCATCTTGATGTTGCCAGCACAGCACAGTGAGTGGTTTTTGAGTAATTGAAAGCTGTGGAACTAGCTGGGTACAGGAGGGATCCCAACGGGGAAGGGCATCACTTTATTTTATCTGTTTTTGGAGACAGTTTTGAGCAGAGACGTGGCAGGAAATGACAGTTTTACTTTAATGACAAGGCCAGGTTGCTAATGTTGAAAATTCAGGGCATCTCTTCATTGACTACAAACATTTGACCGCATGGACCTTTTGCAGCACTGTTTTCAGTGAACACTCTACTCTGTATAAAATTCTTGTTCATTTTTGTCCCCATTGGATTTTCTCTTATTGCTTGGACTATTAGGCTCAGAAATGAAACTGAATTGTTGGGCCTGTGGATGTGAGCTTATAGCTTCATTTTCACTAACTTAGAACCGAAATTTAGCATTTCCTTCAGTTGTTTAAAAACATCCTTCTCAGATAGATGCATTGGCTTCACCCTGCTGCCGTAGGGGTTCGTGAGATTAAAAGGGTGAAGATTGGCTTAAAGGTGAAGTTCTTTCCAGGACTAGTAGATGTTTTTTCATTCTCAGGCCTAACCTGTTGGAGACTCCAAAGATCCCCCCTTGGGTTCTGTTTGCTGCTCAGCTCTGTGTCCCCTCAGGAGCCCTGCCCAGGGGCCCCTGCTGGTGGCTGGACAATTCTCAACAAGAACAATAAGAGTTTGGTATTTGGTTATAGAAGTGAATAAACTAAAACCGGTGAGCTGTTGGGGCTGTTTCGGCAGCTTAATGCTGCAGGCAGGATGCCAGACAGGCGCAGAGTCTGGAAGACTTGGGCTTTCCTAGCTCTCTGGTCCTGGGCATGGCTCTTAGCTTCCTACTCTTAGGTCCTCGCCTGTAAAAGGAGGATGATCACGTCCCCCGTCTTCTAGGGTTGTTGTGGAGATTACACGAGATAATATTTGTGAAGAATGTTGGGTCAGTGCTATCATTGCAGTCAGATTGATGTTGTCAGATTGAGGTTGTAATTCAAAGTCATCGTTGATGCAGGTGTGTGGATTTGAATTAACTTTCTCTTTTTCCTTTTTAGGTATTTGGATTTTTGGCGAGCACTGTATTCCTAATTGATTTTGGTTTACTGAAGTTTGAAAATGCTCGGAAGTCCCAGACAAGGAAACCTGAAGTCCCCCAAACCACTCTTACCCAGCCACTGAATGGCTAGGAGAATGGTAGAGAAGGCAGGAACCAGAGGATAAGCAAGCCAGGTGGAGAGTGCTTGTAAAATACAGAATTGGACTCTATTAAGACCAGCTCTCTATGTTTATTCACTTGCAGGGACCTAGGGGGAGAGGATGAGGACGTGCTTTGTCAACCCAGCACTTTCATCACAGCCCTGTCCAGGTTGCCTTTTTCCCAACTACTGCTAAAGTGTGTGCCTTAATGAAATTTCTTGTTGCTATTTTTTTCTTTAAAACCCATTTCCATCAAGTGACAAACCTTTCTGTGATACTGTGACAAGATCACCTTGACTGTCTTGGCTTTCATATAGCACTATGTGTTCATATGAATGATATGAAATGTTCATCTGATTGACCTTTGCTCTTATTGAATTAATCTGCTTATTTGAAATTTTGGGGGAGATTCTTCTCCCTTTTTTGAGGGCCTGCCTAGTTAAATTGTTTATATTGAGAGCTGCTGGAATGCAGTAGCATTTATTTGGGACGAGCTAGAACAAGGAACATCAGCTGTCACCACCTTTAGAGGGAAATCCCAGAGAAGGAAACTCCCTGTACCAAAGCAGGTGCAGACCTGCTTGTGGTCTCAGAGAGGGAGCTGCCTGGAGCCTGAAGAATTGAAGGTATTTACCCAGGGCCGCGTGCCCAGTATGTGGCGGAGACGAGCCTTTGACCCACTCTGGCTCTGAGACCGCCTTTCTGACCTTTACACCATGGCTGCCGCTTTGGGTACAAATACTGTTTCTGTTCGTGTTGTCTCTAACCCTACAGAATTAGGGGCCAAGTGTGCTTTAACCACCTTGATGAGTAGAAATAGTGCTATTTGTGGTTGCATGGACATGCTGGCTTGTCAGGTGCCTGAAGAGGGTGGCTGTGGGTGTGAGGGAGAGAGGACCTGAGATGGAGGGAGGCTGCCAGCTTTACACTTGCATTGCAGTGATGTCCATCTAGTTGTGACCCTGCTCAGGGTTAGATGCGGCAGTCTGGAGTTGAGAGGCATTGCTGTATGGACTTGCCTTCTCCCCACATGAGTCTGGGATAGCTTTCCTCATTGAGAACATGGGTGCCAGATCCCCACTCTGATGAGTTACAGGTTTAAGTTACAGATTCACTCACTTTCATTGGAAGATTGTATTGTGTTATGAGAGGTAGGGCTGTGTCATTATAGAATGTTCTGGAACCTCCTTTGTTTTCTGTGTAATACTGCTTGTTGTAATGCCTTTCCATTAATATGTAAATCTTGAATATAAAAATAGATTTTTCTTATTAATTCCTGTGAATTAATTTGTGGCCTATGTGTCAATGCTAGAACGAGTTCAACTGGTACTACTGATTACTCAGCTCCTCACTATTGCCTTAGGTGTTGATATTTCCCTGTGAAAAAGGGACAGTGGAACCTGGAGGGTTTTGCCTGTTCATGCATGCCCCACACCACCACGCTCTTCATCCCCCGGCATCCCCATCACACACTGGTTTTCTCCTTGGGTTTTACTAAAGAGCCTGGGCACAGTGCTGCTGCCTTTTCCCACCACAAAAACCTGGTTTGCCATCACAGTTCTCCTAGATGGCCCATCAGGATTAAAACTACCCCGACTCTTATTTCTTGTATATGAATCATATTAGTTTGTATCGCAACATGACTCTTGGGTCCCGTCAAGATATGTGTTTTTGTTCACTAGAACAGGAGTCCCTTTTAAGCAGTATGAAGCTCCCATGGGAGCTAAACACAGGAAATTTGACCTGATCGGAGCAGTTTGGAAACTCCCTTTTGGACGTGTAGGAACAGACACGTATGGGTACCATTTTATATGTGTGTGTAGTAAAAGTTTCAAGACCAAATTAGAAGCTTAGACGAAAGCTCTTCCGAGTGTGCTTTAAAGAGTACAGAGTGTGTGCACACAGATCTATTGTCTCAAATAGAGAATACCAAACTCTCTGCCCTATGATAATGAGGTTTCTTTTGAGGCAAATTATGTAACTGGATTTTGGGCTCTGCCTGTACTAACTCAGTGTTCTGGGTCATGTCTTAGCAAAACTCTTGTTTGTAACGTGCTTGTTTTTGAAACTTTACAATTCTTTTGAAAGATCTAGTTGTGGCTTGTTCAGTAACTTAATTTATAATCTCTTTCGCGAGGATGTGGGGGAGTGGGGCAGTCAGCAGATCTTTTTTTGCACTTTTAAGCTTAAACCACTACTTTTCCAAGTTTTCTATTTCTCAACCTTTGAGTGACTGGTGACTTTATCTTCCTTGGGATGGCCAAGTTTGGCCGTTAGATTAGGGTTCGTATTGAGGTTGAGGGCAATGTGGAAATACCATGCCTAACTCTGTTTGGTAGGTACATAAATGAAATCAACTTAAGTTTGATCTTCATGGCTTAAGTGGTCAGAATTTTCTTTTAAATTCACCAATTGGACCTTCATTTGTAAATCTCTAACGTACCACAGATTGGAGAGTTAGTGGGGTAAAAACCAAAAACTATTCCATCTTAAGATTCAAAACAAAATTAGAAACTTGGATATCAATGTCCTTTAATGAAAAATCTGTTAAAAGACTACATTGTTAAATTTCCAACTTTTGTTGATGTAATTTCCTTTTCTCTTTGCTTTCTGTTTAATTTGAATTTTCACTCATTCTTCAGAAATTATAGGGTGAATTTTTTTTAACATGAAAGGCTTATTAGTTAAATTATATGTTTGTACTTGGCTATGTGTATTTAATGTTATTTGCAACAGTCTTTTGTATGTATGTTACTTTTTAAACCTGTGGCCTTTTTATCTGCCTGGTTTTTTGTGGTGCTTTTTACAAAACAAGAGGTAAAATTTTGTAATTCTCTTTTTGAATAAATTCATTTTACTAAAATTGTCCTAGACATTCAGTGCTTCCTTTTCCATAGCAGCCTAAGCTGTAGATGAAGGCTCAACTCAGGATGTCTGGTTGCAATCAGCATTTTTGAGCCCCTGCTCAGAGCACCTGTGTAGACATCATGGGAGGGCCCTGAGTCCACCTTCCCCAGCCCTTTCCATTGCCCTGGAAAGACATAAAATAAATGAGCAAGTTTAAGAAGTCACATTAAACAATGCAATTTGAGTGAAGTATCTAAAACTCACTGGACTCGTTCCAGAAGGCCAAGCTCCCATCACAGTTCTCGGAGCCAAACGCTAGGGGCTCGGTAGCTTTGTTCTTTTGGGGAGTTCTCAAGTTCTCGGGGTGAAGGAAGAAGTGGCAGCTAAGTCTCCTTCCATCTCCAAACTATGGTCTGAAGCATCCATATTTGGGTGGCTTTGGCACGGCAGCAAGTATTTGTCTCCACACGCTGCTAAATTCTTTCCTCCAGTTGATAGGAAGACAACAGAGCCTGTGTGACTGGCCAGACCTCTCTGGAACACTGACATTCTTCAGAGTTTGTGTTTGTAATGAAAAAAAGAAAAACAAACTGCAATAAAACTAAGAGAAGCTGCTGTGTGCATAGTCAAATCCTGCTTTAGAATATGCTCATTGGCTAGGTCTCAACACAAGATGGAAGGCTGGTAGATCACTGTATTATTTTTTTCAATATCGGGAGGAAATTCTTTTTTTTTCTCTTTGCCTTCCCTATAGGTGGACCCTTACATTTGGCCCTGTTTTCTTGGTGTAACACATTGGGCGTTGTTTCAAGATTGTACAAGCTGAGGGATAGCTACAGTAATTTGTGTGTGTGTGTGTATATATACACATGTGTATACATAAATACATAAATATGTGTGTATTTACTTAGCTAAAATGAAACTATCAAAGCATCTTAAAATTTGTATTTATAAAATCAGTACCACAAACCCTTGATACTTTAAAGTTCATCTGTATAGTATACTCCCAAGACATAAATACAAAAAAACTGGCGTTTCTCATGAAGAGAAAAGTAGTAAAATAATAAAAGTTTAAAAAAAGTAGTACAGCCTTTATTAAGGACCTGATATGGCCCTGTGCTAAGTATGTGCTAAGCAGTCCCGCTGTGAGGCTGATTACCTTGGTGAGGAAAATCACAAATTCCTTGGGATTCCATTTCTGAGTCACAAGGATGAGGGAGCTGGAACTGTTGGCTTCTGATGACCCTCCCAGCTCTCACTATATGTTATGATGACCCCTAAGTGACCCAAAAGGATGAAGAAAGCAAGAGATAGAGGATATATATGAATGCACCAATATTAGTGGGGAGGCACAGAAGCAGGCTAGTGTAGGTAGGTCAATGCTGGTACCCTACTGCCAGAGCTTGAAAGGACGTCCTTCCCATTTACAGTGGCTAATGTATCATTTCTGGGGGGATGCATGTTGTGAAGGGGTCTATTTGAGGGCTAAGTATCTTGTGACAAAATAAAATGTAACATTCAGTGTGTGTTTTATATTGTGCACGTGATAAATATTATCTCACCAACACCACAGACTGGAATTCATTCTGCAAATATGGAGGATGTGCAGTGGGCTAAGGACGGGGAAGGGGAAAGGTATAAAGGAAGGAAGGCCTGTATGACCACTAAGGGTCCCTTTCCACGGGGATATGAGTCGTTGTATGTAGGCGTTAATTCCTAACTCTCTGAAGTCTGAGACAACATAGCTTTTCCCATCTCAAACCAGTAAGAAAATGTGGCCAAAGAGTCTCCAGGCCAGGTTAAAAGCAAAAAAGGTGCCATTTCCATCTTCTACTGAATAAAACCTCCAGTCCCAGTCTTTCTACTTCATTCTAAGAGGTAGCTGGGTGACTCAGTAAATAGAGTGCTGGTCCTGGAGTCATCTGGCCTCAGACACTTATTAGCTGTATAACTCTGGGCAAGTTACTTAACCTGTCTACCTCAGTTTCCTCAGTTGTAAAGTGGAATCATAATAGCATTTACTTCCCAGTGTTGATGTGAGGATAAAATGAGATACTATTTGTAAAGTGCTTTATGAATCGTAAAGTATAATGTAAATGCTATTTATTATGAGAGACCCAGCAGGATGAGTATTTCCTAAAGCAAAGAGTTAGGATTTGTATCAGAAGCAATATGATTACAGTTTTCATTTCTCAAGACTAATTATTATTATTCCTTTTGGAGGGGGCTGTTTGAACTAAAACCAAAAGGAGGCCCCCATTCCTGGAGCTCTCACAGGACACGAGGGGCACTCTCGGGGCGATGTCTTACTCCTCTGCTGCTCCATCCATGCAACATGGGAGCTTCTTGACAGACCCTGTCCAGTATGTCCTTACCAACTTCCCTCTGCAAACACATCGCTTGCAAGGCTTAAAGAATGAACTGGTTTATTTGCAGGTCAAAGAACCTAAGTAGAGTTTCATATAAGGGCCCATAGAACATAGCAATATGCCCAGTAAACCGTCCTCACAGCTGCCCTGGGTAGGAGTCCTCCAGATTGATGCTTCCTTTCATTGAACCTCTCCTATGGCCAACTGTGTGGGCAGCCCCCCCTGCCCTTTCCTCAGCACATGGCATTAGTCGCTACCCCCCCCCCCCACTGCCATACTTCCAAAGCCCCATGCCCCTCACCAGTCCTTGGAGCTCTAAGCAAATGGTGACAGACTTTGGCTATTCCATGCAGGCTCTTACGCTTCATCCGGTTTTGCGTAGCTCCCGGAAGATGAAAGTGTTTGTTTGTGCTCTTACCTAGACAACTAACTCTTCACCGCATCCGTGGAGCATTTCAGACTGCCTCGGCAGTGTGTGCTTACAGCTTAGAATGCCACTCCAGAGAGTGCCCCCTATCCCAAGCCCCGGTCGTTTCCGTGCTGTTGAGCCTCACGGCAGCATCTCCTCTCTCCTCTTCCTCTTCCTCATCCCTAGGCTCTGGGCTTCGGGTGCATTCACAGTGCTCTTTCTGCTTCTGGACCCTGAAGCACACCAGGGCTTGCTGCCTGCGTCAGTGAATTCTGAGGCTCACGTCACCCACCTCAGTTCTCCAAGATTTCCGAGCAGATTATCCTTCTCAAGCCATCGACGGATGGGCGCAGGAGGCCTACGCTTCTCCAGAGTTTCTCATTTGCCACCATGATTCCATTTCCCTCACACCCTGGAACCTCTCTGGATCAGCCCAGGGCCTTCTCAGCCTGTAACATCCCTGCTTCCTTCTCCATCGCTTAGTTCCTCCGGGGAGCCTCCATTTTGGGGACGGGCCCAAGCCAGCCATGCTTCATTTCCCTCCCAGGCGTTCTTCTGAATGTACTTTGCCGCCATGTTCCCACTCAGATGTTTTCTCCCTTCTCCCCCACCCCCTTTACAATTCCCTGCTATGTATTGTCTTGGCTCATTAGACTCCTCGTGGGCAGGAACTCATCCCCAGCGTAGCATCTAGCACGTAGTAGTATGTCCTTAAGTGATTGTTTGCTACCAGCCATTGGCGCGCAGTGAAGAGGGGAACACTTGGACGTCCTTCTATATTCTCCCCTCCCCCCTTAAAAGTTTTTGCTGTTCTTACAAATTATACTCACCCTTACATTTTTAAGGTTCACAGAAATGATATGCTCTCACGGTACATGTTAAATAGTAATTTGCCTCCAGAAGACCTTACGTGAATGATTTGTGTGTCACTCGTGCCAAGAGACACCTCTGTTATGTGTGACACCCTCGCTCATCACCCACCCAACGTAAAGCACGCACATCACTCCAAGTCATTGGCTAGCTAGTAGTCTAGGTTACTGTTGTTCAGTTGGTTTAAGTCGTGTCTGACTCTTTGTGACCCCATCTGGGCGATTCTTGGCAAAGATACCTGAGTGGTTTGTCATTTCTTTCTCCAGCTCATTATGCAGGTGAGGAAAATGAGGGAGACCGAGGGAAGTGACTTGCCTAGAGTCACACAGCTAGTGTCTGAGGCCAGATTTGAACTCAGAAAGATACTTCTGAAGGCTCTATCTCTCTCTGTCCTCTGTGGGAGGGGAGCTATATTTGGGGACATGTTCTGGACCCATGACCACCTGAGAGGGATTGGGGATGTCTGCTACCTCTAAGCTATTTCAGAGCTGATTCATTTTCAAAATAACCTGGTCCGAGCTCAAATGATGGTTGATTTTCATCCAAAATGTTGCTGCAAAGACCCATACACAGCAAAGGAGATGGGAACTGACCAGGGCGACAGTTCTGCCTGGCTGAGGGATGATAGGGATTCTGTGTCCACCAGAGTGCTGGCTTCCCAGGCAGATTTAGCCACAGTGTGGAAAATGCGGAAGTGCAGACAATGTGGGAAAGGATATGAGATGATAATGCTTGGATTAAAAAAGGCCTTTCTAATTGCCTGACAGGCTTTGATAAGCTTCCCTGTTTTCCCTTCCTCATCTCCACAATGACAATTTCCTGTGTGGGAGAACTGAGAATAGACTTCTCTGCCCTGGGCGTGTGCTTAAAGTTAAGACACGTGACCTACTTTGTGACTGATCCTTCCCTGAGGGCTCTGAAGACTGTTCCTCCCGGAACTTCTGGCTCTGCTGCTGACTTTCTGGGCTTTGCTACCATGTACCAGCTTGGGGGGCCTCTCCGCTCCCCATCTTTTCAACTTCCTCCTGGGTGCTGCTCTCCCTCATTAGACATGTAAGTTGTACGTAATAGATTTGCAGTTTCACATGCAATCATCTTTTTTATTATAATGTTTTGGAAATGCTTATTTTATTCTATAAATTAAAAATAAAATAAGTCATTCCCTCCCCCCCCTGCAAAAAAAGAATATAAACTTTTGGAGGGCAGGGACCATCTTTCTTTTTACTTTGATTTGTATTTTTGTTTTGTTTTGTTCAGGCAATGGGGTTAAGTGACTTGTAAGTGTCAAGTGTCTGGTCTGAGGCCGGCTTTGAACTCAGGTCTTCCTGACTTCAGGGCCGGTGCTCTCTACCCACGGTGCCACCTAGCTGCCCCTTGGATTTGTATTTCCAAGCACAAAGTACAACACCTGGCACTAGTAAGTACTTAATAAATGCTTGTTGACAACAAGCTTGTTGTTGACAATCCTATTTCACAGGGTGTTGTGAGGATCAAATGAGTATAGTTATAATATTCCATCATTTCAGTCCCATCCAATTCTTCATGACCCCATTTGGGGTTTTCTTGGCAAAGATATTGGAGTGGTTTGCCATTTCCTTCTCCAGCTCATTTTACAGATGAGGAAACTGAGGCAGACAGGGTTAAGTGACTTGCCCAGAGTCAGTCACACAGCTAGTAAGTATCTGAGGCTGGATTTGAACTTAGGAAGACAAGTCTTCCTGACTTCAGGCCAGGCACTCCGTCCACTGTGTCATCTAGATTCCCATAATTATAATAGCTCACATTTATCTATCATGTATTGTCTCATTTGAACCCCAGGAAAGTAGGAAATGTGATTCTCCATTTCATGCTTGTAAAGAGATCTGTAAACAGGAAGCATGAGAATTGACACTTGTCCTATTAAATCTCACATTCTAGAGTGTCAGGATCTTTCAGGGCCCTTGCCTATGTTATCTGATGTGGTAGAGATTCCAGATTCTATTCAGCATTGTATCATCTGCAGGTCTGATAGGCATGGCCACGTCTGCATCCCTGCCTTTATCTAAGGCATCCCTAAAAATAAGACACAGATCAGAGTCAAGCCTGCATTGCTGGTGTGCTCTCTGCTGGCTCCCCCCCTTTGAAGCTGATGTTGACCTATCCATGACTCCTCTTGGAGTCCGCTCATCTATCAGTCCCAAGTCCACCAGCAGTGGATTGTCTCATCCACTCCCTCCCAGAGACTCTTATCAAAGGCTTTGCCAAAATTGAGTTTAGCGACATACAACAGGCACCTGCTCTACCAGTTTTACAGCTTGGTCAAAAAGGAAGTGTCAGATCTAGTGCCACCTGTTCTGGATGAGGACGGGCCGGCTCTTTGTGACTGTGCTTTCCTTTTCTAGACGCCCACTAAACCCTCCATTTAATAACACTCACTAGAACTTTCCCAGGAATCAAAGTCAAGCACACTGACACATAATTCACCAAATGTGTTCTTTCTCTTAAAAATAAAAAGTCAGAATGTTTGTCCTTCTCCAGTCCTGTAGTAACTTCTGTGTTCCGTGATCTTTCAAAGGTCCCCAAGAAAGCGGCTCAGCCATCACACCTGTCAGTTCTTTCAGGGCCATTTGGACTCGTCAGCAAAGGCAGCATCGCTCCCATTGTTGCTTTGCTTAGCTTGGCCATCAATGCTCCATTAACCCTATCGCTCCTCTCCTTGTTGGTCCAAAGAGCAATCTGTTCTTCATTGAAAACAGGAGCAAAACGAGATTTGAGCGGCCCTCCCTTTCCTCTTTCCTAAGTTGTCCCTGTCCCCTCCATCCTGAGCAGCATCCTTTTTTGATCTTGTGCATCTCTCAACCCCCGAACCCACCAAACCAACTTTCTTTGTTTTCCTTTGTTTTCTTGCCTGCCTCACCTGGTTCAGAGTTTTAGCCAACTGGACGCTCTCCTTACAGACCCACACTTTGGTATTCTTCTGATCCTGTGTTTGCTTCTAACTTTTGTACCTGTATTTTAAAAAGATGAGAAAGGGAAGGCTAGACTTGAATTGTTCAGACAGCGTCGGAATATCACAGTGCTGGGAGACTTGTTCTCTTGACTTCAGCTGCCAGAGGGGTTCTTAACCTCGTATTTGTAGATGTCTTTTTTTTTATTTAATAGTATTTTAGTTTTTTCTGTTACGTGTAAAGACAATTTTCAACATTTGTTTTTTGAAAGATTTTGAGTTCCAAATTTTTCTCTCTCTTCCCCCAAGAGAGCAAGCAATCTGATATAGGTTATACTTGTCCAGTAATGTAAAACATATTTCCACATTAGTCATGTTGTGAAAAAAGAAACAGAACAAAAGGGGAAAAAAAACCCACACACAAAAAAGAAAATAGTCTGCTTCGATCTGCATTCAGACTCCATCAATCTTTCTCTGGACATGGATAGTTTTTTCCATTAAGAGTCTTTTGGAATTGTCTTGGATCACTGTATTGCTGAGAAGAGCTAAGTCAATCATAGTTGATGGTTGCACAGTGTAACTGTTACTGCATACAATGTTCTCCTGGTTCTGCTCACTTCACTTAGCATCAGTTCATGTAAGTCTTTCCAGGTTTTTTTCATGGATTAAAAAATATTTTAATAAATATTTCAATAGACTTGGTTTCTTTTGTAATGCATTCTGAGTTATCCATAGGCTCAGACTGCCAAAGGGGTCCACACATACAAAAAGAGTTCAGAATGCCTAGACTAGGATATTCTTTCTGTCAAAAAGCAGAGCTAATACATTCTTGTCTTGACAAAATCTTTTAAAATGTGAAAAAATTGGCATTCCAATGTGGACTTGATTTTCAGAGACTTGTAGCTGGAGTAGAAATTATGGGAACTGAGGAGGAAAGTGACCACTCTATTCTTTTTTTTTTTAATTTAATTTATTTATTTTTAGTTGTCAACATTCACTTCCATAAGATTTTGACTTTTAAATTTTCTCTCCCTCCCACTTTTTCCCACCTCTGCCTCCAAGATGGCATACAATATGATAAAGGCTCTACATATACATTCATGTTAAACATATTTTCCCATTAGTCATGATGTAAAGAACAATTAGAACCAATGGGAGGAACCATGAGAATGAAGCAATAAAACAAAACAACAAAGGAAAAGCAGAGCAAATAGTATGCTTCCATCTGCATTCAGACTCCATAGTTCTTTCTCTAGGTGTGGATGTGACCACTCTATTCTTGAGAGGTGACAGAAGAGAGGAAAGCCAGGAATAGTCTGACATGTACCATAGGATTTTAGAAGAGCAGATTTGAAGGGTTTAGAGGAAGCATATTTAAAATACCATAGACTAAAATGGAAAGTCAGCCCAGGAGGGATAAGCTCTTGAAATGGAAATTCTCAGGACACAAAGACATGATTCCAATGTAGAGGGAGAAGGGAGAGCTGTTAATGTGTATGTACAGGTAGCTCACCAACCAGCTTAGATTTTTGAAGACGTTCAGAAGAAGCAGGTTGGTATAGTATAGAGGTTTTTAACGTGATCTGGATCCATGGACCTTTAAGGGGTCTGTGAGTGGATTTCAGGGGCATCTGTGAACTTGAATGGAAAAAAAATCTTTATTGTCACCAACCTCAAATCAAAATTTAGCATTTTCTTTAATTTATGAATGTATGTGACAAAAGCAGTATTAAGTTTCCCCAGACTGCCAAAGGTCTATGACATAAAAAGGGTTGAAAATTGCATATTATAATGTGGAAATATGTTTTGCCTGACTTTACATGGATAATGGACATGATATTGTTTGCCTTCTCTATGAATAGGGAAGGGACTGGAGAGGGAGAAAATTTGGAACTCAAAATTAAAAGAAAATGAATGTTAAAAAAAGTTTAATTAAAAAAAAAACCAGAATCCCCTGCCTAGTGGATTCAGGAAGATCTGTTTTAGGGCGTCCCTCCCATCAGGTCTGTATGACTTGGATTTGGGAAGATCGTAGGAGCATAGATGGAGACCTAGAAGGCACCACAGAGACCATCTAGTCTGGTCCTCTCTTTTTACAAGGAAGGAAACTGTGGCCCAGAGAGCTTAAATAATTCTTCCGAGTCATGCAAGTAGTGTCATAAGCAGAGTTTTTTGAGTCTAATTTAATTTTTTAAAATTAACAAAAATCTATTTCTTTCCCTCTTGCCTCCTCCACCGTCCCCCCAACAATAAAGGAAAAAGAAAAACAAACCCTTATAACAAATATGCATAGTCAAGTGAAAAAAAAACCCCACATTAGCCATGTCCAAATAAAAAAACTATGCCTCAATCTGCACTCATTACCTGTGTCCATTACCAATTACCATTAAGTTCATTACCTGTTAGGAGGTGGGTAGCATGTTTCAACATGGCTCCTCTGGAATCGTCATTGAGTCACTTTGATGATTGAAGGTCTTAAGTCTTTCAAAATTCACTCTGCATCAGTTTATAAAAGTCTTCCCAGGTTTCTCTGAAACTGTCCCCTTTATCATTTCTCATATAGCACAGTCGTATTCCAATATATTTGTATATCATAATTTGTTCAGCTATTCCCCAACTGATGGGCACTCCCTTAATTTCCAATTCTTTACTGCCACATATAAAAAAGCTGTTAAACATATTTGTGGGGACAGCTAGATGGTACAGTGGATAGAGCACCAGCCCTGGAGTCAGGAGGACCTGAGTTCAAATCTGGCCTCAGACACTTGACACTTAATAGCTGTGTGACCCTGGGCAGGTCACTTGACCCCATTGCCTAGCCAAAAAAACAAAACAAAACAAAACACATATTGGTGGACATATAAGTCCTTTTCCTCTTTCTTTGATTTGTTTGGGGCGTAGTGCCTTCACTGAAGCAAAAAGCATACACAGTATAGGATTACAACCAAGAATCACCTACCCAGCAAACCTGAGTATAATCCTTCAGGGGAAAAAATGGTCATTCAGTGAAATAGAGGACTTTCAAGCTGAATAGAAAATCTGACTTTCAAATACTAAGACTCAAGGGAAACATGAAGAGGTAAACAGAAAAGAGAAATCATAACAGACTTATTAAGGTTGAACTGTTTACATTCCTGCATGGAAAGATGATATTGGTAACTCATGAGACCTTTGTCAGTATTAGAGTAGTTGGAGGGTAAAAGTTATATGTATGTATAGATAGACAGAGAGATAGATAGATAGATAGATAGATAGATAGATAGATAGATAGAGGGCACAGGGTGAGTTGAAGATGTAGGGGTGATATCTGGAGAATAAAATTAAGGGGTGAGAGAGGATTATACTGGGAGAAGGAGAAAGGGAGAGGTAAAATGGGGTAAATTATCTTATATAAAACAGACAAGAAAAGGCTCTTACAGTGGAGGGAAATGGGGGAAGGTGAGAGGGAATGAGTGAATCTTATTCTCATCAGATTTGGCTTAAGGAGGGAATAACATACACACTCAATCGGGTATAGAAATCTATCTTACCCTACAGGAAAATAGGGGGAAAGGGGATAAGAGAAGGAGGAGGGCAGATTGGAGGAGGGGATAATCAGAAGTGAACACTTCTGAGGAGGGACAGGGTCAAAAGAGAGAATAGAATAAATGGTAGGTGGGATAGGATTAAGGGAAATATACTTAGTTTTTCACAACATGACTACTATGGAAGTGTTTTGCATGACTACATATGTATAACCTATATTGAGTTGCTTGCTTTTTCAATGAGGGTGGGTGGGGAGGGAGGAAGGGAGAAAATTTGGAACCCAAAGTTTTAAAAACATATGTTAAAAAAATTGTTTTCACATGCAACTGGGAAATAAGAAATACAGGAAATGGGGTATAGAAATCTATCCTGCCCTACAGGAAAATAGAAAGGGAAGGGGATAAGAGAAGGGGGGGGTGAGATAGAAGGGAGGGCAGATTGGGGGAAGGGGTATACAGAATGAATGCCATCTTGGAGTGGGGAGGTGGGATGAGATGGGGAGAAAATTTGGAACTCAAAATCTTGTGCAAGTGAATGTTGAAAACTAAAAATAAGTATAACTGCCTCTAAAAAAAAAAAGCACACACAGTTCAGCAACTTTTTAGATAGAGTTCCAAATTGCTTTCCAGAATAGCCAGACCGTTTCACAGCTCTTCCCACAGTGCATCAATTTGCCTGTTTTCCCACGGCCCCTCCAACATTTGTCATTTTTCTTTTTGTCAACTTTGCTCATATGATGCGTGTGAAGAGAAGCCACATTTGAATCTAGGCCTTCTGACTCCGAATCTAGTACCTTTCCCGATGCTGATTCTGTCTTCTCTGCCCTTCCCACCGATCCGCACACTAATTAACTGCATGGCCCTGGACCAGTCACTTAACAAGTGCTCTGAGTTTTCATTTCCTCATCTATAAAACTGGACAATAACATATCCTCGCTTGCAGGGCTCCGGTAGGATCAGATGACGTCATGCTCACGCAGTAACAGCGCTCTGCAAATTTTGACGGTGCTACGTAATTGACAGCTAATAGCACTTGGACTACTGTGTCATGAGGCGGCAAGCTGCAGTGAGGCCCTTTGGCCACAAGAGGGAGAGCAGCTCCCACTGCTATAATAGCGAGGAAGGTGGGTTTTGGTCCCGCCCCTCAGTGGAGTTTTCAGCGATGCTCAGTACCTGACTCCCGATCCTTTGAGGTTTCGTTTTTTTGCAAGGAAAAAAAAGCCTGCAGGGCTCACAGTTCAGAGGGATTAGTCAGAAGAAAACACCGTTTGCAGAGAAAGACCTCGGCACCGACAATCTCTCTCCCCCATCAGATCTGCGCCTCGCCCCGACCCCACCCCAAATCTTGCCCCCGCTTCCTCCGCGGAGGCTGCCTCCGCTGCTGTGGTTTTAAGGGGACGAGCTCAGGGAGGCGCGGCGGGGATCCTCACCCTGAGCAGGCCGGATTTGGAACTAGGGGCCCCGGTTCGAATTTGAGCCTTGTCCAGTGAATTTCCGTTTCCAACCCTCCAAGCTGGACGAAATGGCTTGAGGGGGCTTTTCCAGCTCCGAATCTGTGATCCTTCTCAGAATCGGGGGCAGGGCTCCGGTAACAACAGGCAACATTTAGAGATGGCGCTTTAGGGTCTGTAGATGAGACAAGATTTGAACTCAGGTCTTCCTAACACCAAAACCATCAATCTATCCACTGTGCCACCAGCTGGCTCTGTGCCTTTAAAAGCCAGGAGGTCCTAGGGGGCCTTTGGGGCTTGTCATTCAGCAGTGAGCACGGGAATGCTTAAGAAAATGCTGCCTGATCATGGAAGGACTGATGGCTTTAGCTTTAGAGAGCTGACTAGACAGCCACACCTGTGGAGAGCCTCCTGCCCCAGCCTCTGAGCCCCTGGGCATCTTCCTTCCTGTTTGCGGAGTTGGTAGTGACTGTGGAGGGTTTGGTTTAAGTTAACTGAGGCTCAGGAAGGGCAGATCAGCTTTGGCCGTGGCACTGAAGATGGTTCCCTACAAGTATAAACCCATTTGACAGTGGGACAGTGGAAAGAGTGGGAGTTGAAATCAGAAGACTCAGGGCTCAAACCTTGCATCACCATTACTACCTTGCAGTCTCAAGTAAGTCACTTCCCCCTCAATTCAATGGGCCTCTTTGCTCATCTGGAAAATGAGGGGGTTGGATTTGGTGACTTTTTTTGGTGAGGGCAACTGGGGTTAAGTGACTTGCCCAGCGTCACACAGCTAGTGAGTATTGTATGTCTGAGGCAAGATTTGAACTCAGGTCCTCCTGACCCCAGGGCCGGCACTCTATCCACTGCACCAGCCAGCTGCCCCTGACTTGGTGACTTCTAAAGATTCCTTCAAGCTCTAAATGTATGATCCCTTCAGAGAATCAAAGGAATTCAGTTGGGAGGGATCTTCCTAGCTGTATACCCTAGCGAGTCATTTAAATCTCTTTGGGCCTCAGTTTCCTCATCTGTAAAATGGGGGAAATGTTAGTACTGCCCTCACAGGGTTGTTGTGAGAGAGTATGCCTGCAAGCCTTATTGTGTTATTGCCCAGGGTCATACAGGCCAGGATTTGAACCCCTGTATTCACTCCAGAGACAGAGCTTTTTCTAGCAGGGGTTATTTCCCCCCCCCCCTTTTATATCCCCAGTACAGTGCCTAGCACATAGTAGGTGCTTAATAAATGCTGGTACTGAGAGGCAGCCTGTAGAGCACAAGTAGAAAACCTACTGGCTTTGGACTCAGGATGACCTGGGTTCAGATTCTCCCCTGGCATATTGTAGGAGCTTAATTAAATTACTGCATGCAGAATAAATAGAGGAATGAATTGGACATTTTTATAATATGACATTTATTTATTACAAGACTAGATGACCTTCCATGTCTCTTTTCCAGAACGTGAGACCTATGATTCCTGGGAAGGAGTTTGTATGGTGGGGGGATGGGGTCATCTTGAACCTGGGCAGATTCCTTGATTCCTAACATCCCTCATCTCCCAGTTACAAGCAGGGCCAAAGCAGGATTTGAACCTAGGTCCTCAATTTCAGAGCAGTCACTTTGCTCAAACCCCACCTTTGACGCTTCCTTTATTTGTAAAATGGTGAGGTTGGGCTATGTGGCCTCTGAGGGCCTTTCTATCTTGTGGTCCACTATGACCCCTGCATCCTCATTCCATAAGATTAGCTTTACCATCTTTATTTTCTCCCCAGCCTCTCTCCTGCCGAGCCTCACTCTCTACTTCTGTCAAAGGATGGAGGTGACCTCTGAAACCTCTTATCTAAATCCACAGTCCCATCAGCTGAATAGATTGATGGTTATAAATAAAGTTTTTGGCAAACACAGACCAAAAAACAAAACAAAATAAAACAAAAAACAGCACAAGGACTCCACCAATCTACTTCCTGCCAGAAGTAAGGCTGGTGAGGAAAACACCTGCTGGGGGGACCCGCCCTCCTTCCCCAAGGACACTGCCCCCACCCCCAGATACACACCCACAGCCCCTCCTTCCCCAAGGACGCTGCCCACCCCTCCACCCCAGATACACACCCACAGCACAGCTGACAGGAGGTGTGTGTGTGGGGGGAGAAACAAAGGGTAACCCGGACTGGTGATGAAGCAAGCTGGCCCTCGGAATTTTGAGACAGTATGGGGGAATCCCCTACCCACCCACCCATCCCACACACTGCAGCAACATGGCTGAGAGGCTGAAATTGCCTTCTTGCTCCGAGGCATAGGGTTTGGGCCTCAGACTGAGTAGGTAGGGCTTCAGTTAGTTTGGGGCAAGAGCTTCTCAGAAGTGCTATTGGGGGCTGTGGAGTGCCCCAGACTGGAAGTTGGGTCAAGGAATTGAGAGATGGAAAGGATTCTTCGAAACAAGCAGGACCAAACAGGGGTTTTTGAAGTCAGAGGGAGTTGGAATCCTGGCTATGCTAATTAATACCCATATGATCTAGGGAAAGTCATTCAATGCTCTGGTGTCGGTCTGTGAAATGAGGAGGCTGGATTGTAGAATCCCCAGACTGGAGGGTTTGGAAGGACCTAGGTGGGCATCCAGCCCAATCCGTACATGAAACTCCCCCAGTGACCCTCCATCCTCTGCCCTAAATTTATGCTCCCAGCTTGTCTGAAAGGGCTGAAAGGGACCTTAGGAGTCTAGTTAACAGCAAGGAAATGAAGAATCCCAAAGTCCCACAGGAAGTGGTAGTGTCAGCATTAGAATCTGGTCTTCTGATAGATATGTCACTCAAGTCCCTTAACTTTGCTTGGCTTCAGCTTCCTCATCTCTTAAACAAGAGGGTTGCACTAAATTATTTCTAAATTATTCTCTTGTAGCTCTAATGTTCTCTGACCATATCAGATTTGTTTTCCTTGGCTCCAGAGGTCCAAACTAGGAACAAGGGGTAAAAATTTCAAGGAGGCAAAGTTAGGCTTGATAAAAGAAAAAAGGAAATGGCAAACCACTCTATATTCATGCAAAGAAAACTCTAGATGGAGTCACAAAGAGTCAGGCATGACTGAATAGACTGAACAAGAAAACTAAAACAGACAAAGGAACAGAAACCAAGGGAAGTTTTTAAATATGAAAAACGAACAAGTGTATGCAGAGGCCAGGTTGCCAGGGAGGAAAAGGAATAGGTTTTGGTGGGGTGGAGAGTAAAAGATGTGCCCTATTCTTCACAAAGAGGCTGCTTTATTTTACAGATGGGCAAAAAGAGACTGGGAAGTGGCCAGCCCACACACTTCAATTCACAGAATCAGGATCTCAAGAATGGGAAGGAAGATGAGGGTCCATACCTGAACAAGAATGCCCTTTACACATTTTTGGCAAGTGGTCATTGACCCTTTCAAATCATTTCAAAAATAAGAATTTATTAAGCACCTATTGTGTGTGATGCATTGTAAAAGATAAAAAGTGAGACAATCCCTGCCCTCGAGGAGCCTGAAATGGCAGAATGAGGAAAGAGTTAAAGCCAGGTCCTGTTACTCCAAATCCTCTAGGCTTCTTCTCTTCTCTGTATGTACCACATTGCCTTCTAGGCCCATGGGCCATTCTTCCAGTTTCAGCTGGCTCTGTGAGTCTCCTCTCACGTCTGTCTTGTGTCTAGACTTTTCCATGCAAGAACTCTGGCTTGGTGTCAGAGATTGGGCGAGAACCATTTCAAGCTCATTGTTCAATTATTGCAGTCATTTCTGACTCTTTGTGACTCCATTTTTCTTGGCAAAGAAACTGGTTTGCCCTTTTCTTCTCCAGCTCATTTGACATATGAGGAAACTGAGGCAAACAGGGTGAAGCGACTCCCCCATGGTCACACAGCTAATAAATGTCTGAGGCTGGATTTGAACTCAGGAAGATGAGTCTTCCTAATGCCAGGCCCAGTGCTCTATGCACTATGGCGCCCTCTAGCTGCTACCAATTTCAAGCTCAACAAGCTGTTATCAAGCACCTGATGCACACAAGACATGGTTCTCCAGGCTGAGGGAGAGACAGAACTGGGAAAGACCTCATGGATCCTGCCCTTAAGGATTTTAAAATCTAATGGGGAGAAAAAAGATATACACAACAAAAGAATGCAAAATGGTGCATGAGATAGCAGTGCAATGAGATCAGGGCAGGGAGGGATGATTTCTAGCACATGGGAACTCAAGGGGTGGTGGGGAGCCCAGAATGATGAGCTGAGGATAACCTGAGAGAGATCTACGCAGGAAGGGTGCAGCAGGACAAGAGAGAATTTCGAAGGCTGAGCCAGGGAGCTTGGTCTTTATTTAGTAGGTAACAAGGAGCCGCTGAAAGTTAGAGAAGGGGGCCAGCTAGGTGGCACAATGAATAGAGAACCAGCCCTGGAGTCAGGAAGATCTGAGTTCAAATCTGGCCTTAGACACTTGATATTTACTAGCTGTGTGACCCTGGGCAAGTCACTTAACTCCAATTGCCTCCCAAACAAACACAACAATAACAAAAGAAAGTTAGAGAAGGAAAATGACATAAACAGGGAAGATTCAGAGCATAGAGTCATGTAAGGGTTGGACTGGAGTTGGAAAGTGGGAAGAGGATTGGGAGAGGCTGGAGGCTGAAGGCAGGGGAATCCCAGATCACAGTCTCAGAGTTGACCTAGGACCTTAGGGACGATTCAGTCTAACATCTTATCTGACCAAGATTCTCCTCTGTAATGAACCTGACAAGAGGTCATCCAGTCTTTGCTTGAAGATCACCAGTGCCCCCAGTGAGGTCAGAGAGTCAGTCAATCAACATTTATTAAGCACCTACTATGTACTACAACTGTACCTTTAAGCACTGGGAATACAAAGAAAGACAAAAGACAGCCCCTGCTCTCAAGGAACTCCCAGTCTAACGGGGGAAAACCATTACTTCCAGGGTAGTTCAAATTATTAGGCATTTTTTTTCTTACCTTATATCAAGTCTAAGTTTGCTTCTCTGCACTTGTAGACATCATTCCTAAATCCAACCTCTGGGGCCAAGTGGAACAAGTCTAATTAATCTAATCATAGAACATTAGAGAAAGAATGAACTTTAGAAATAATTTAGTCCAGCTTTCTCATTGAACAGATAAGGAAACTGAAGCTCAGCAAGGATGAGTGATTTACCCAAGGTCATACGTATTCAGCCTAGTGGCACAGCCAAGAAGCAAAGAAAAAAAAAGCCTTCCTCTACTCTAAATATAGTATTCCTTCTCCACAACAAATTGCCTCCCACCAAAAGTGAAAAAAAATGCAACAAAAATCCTGGTGTTGAAATATTAACTTGAAAACTGTCCCTCAGTGAACATGAAACACCTGAAATTCCTCAGTGCCCTCTCTTTAGCAATACCAGGGCCATAGCACACTGCTGGGGAGCTTGTCTGTGAGTTATATCTATTCCATAGCTCAAGAAACTTCCCAGGGCTTCTTGTACCCCAGCAAGCCAGGTGACCATGAGTTCAAAGTAAAAATTTCTTTGGTTTTTTTTTGGTTTGTTTGTTTTTGCGAGGCAATTGGGGTTAAAGTGACTTCCCTAGGGTTACACAGCTAGTGTCTGATTTGAGACCACATTTGAACTCAGGTCCTCATGACTCCAGGGCCAGTGCTCTATCCACTGCACCACCTAGGTGCCCCAAAGTAAAAACTTCTAATGAAAAAAACAGGGTTGGGCACTGGATTTATCCTCAAGTATAAAATGCACCTACATTACAGGGTTGGTGTGGGGATCTCCTCGACAATATTTGTAAAGCACTTAGCTCAGGGCCTGGCACAGATTAAGTGCTATAGAAACACTTACTCCTTTCCTTTTCCCCTTCCTAACTATGTACTGCAGGCACAGGAATTCTGGGCTACTTGGCACAAAAACTAAACTGTAATAGGAGAACCCTTGGCTATAGATCTCATGGTCATCTAAATCCAGACAAGATACCAGAGCTCAGAGCATAGCTGCTATTTCCTTCTCATCTTTTCCCAACTAACTACTGCTCTTCTCTAACCCCTACATCTTATCCTTCACAAGATTTCTTTCAGTGCCTTCCAAATCCTTCTGTGCTCGGGGGATTCTTAGGATATGAACTCATGCACAGCCTTATAGGGGATAGAGTTCCCAAGAGAATGTGGAGTCCCACACCTGCCCCTTACAAAAAGGAAGCAAAGGCTACCCAGATTACTCATCATCTCACCAATGAGGAAGACAGTCCCTATCAATTAATTTCCTCAGACCTTTCCTCCATGTCCATAAGTGAAGATGCTTGGCACCATCTGGGGTGTTGAAGCTGCGGGTGCTGCCCCCAGGTTTTTAATCTCTTGGAGAGATCAGATGGATGTGACCCTGGATGAAATCCTAGCAGAGTCCATATTTTAGAAGAAAAAAAAACTTCTTCAGGGGGTCTGTCAAGGAGCCAGATGGTTTAGCATTTCAAATAACGTTCCTTGGTCTATTAAGTATTGATTTCTCTGATTTTTTAGGCTGTGCATAATTTAGATGGTGTTTCAGCAAGTGTGGTGTACAGGCCATGGATGGCAGGTATTGATTTTTTAAAGTGATAAATTATTTTGTGTAGGAATAGTATCCATTTTAGCCCTTGGAGTTCCACAGAAAATCCCAGAAACAACCTAGATGGATCTAAATGAAACTCCTGTTGCTTTAGAAGGAAGACTTGGCCATATTCAAGTACCTTGGCTTCTATATGAGCAATTTAGGGCCTTTCCTTGGTACATGAGGGGCTTCATCTCAATGCGGACTGGCTGACCTTGCTTAGCAGGATGGAGGGTAGCTAGAAGCAGCTGGGATATTGGGCAGGCGATCAGCACCAGGCCAGGACAGATGGGGCTGCGGCAATGACTCAGGACCCTCAGATAATGGGCTTGACAAAGGCTTAGAAAGGCTAATACTATGGCTAGCTTGAACACAGAGAAGAGGAGAGTCTTTCCCAACCTGGGATGGTCCACTTGCAGGTAATTTCCAAGTTCAGAGAGGAAAGATCTCTATTTTTATCCACTTGCTTTGAAAATGGTCTCTGACTTTTTTTCTCTAAAAGGAATGAGGGGGAGAGGGAAAGGAAAGATATCAAACCACTGGGGACGTAAAGGACACCAGCTACCACGCCATCACGGACACCAGCCGCTTCATGGTGATGTAAAGAGCAAAGCAACTGTTTTAAGGTATTGTATGCGAGAAAGTTCAATAATGAAGTCAAAATGGCAGATGGTCTTATTTCTTCAACTCCAGTTTTTTGGCAATCACTCCTTCTCACCCTGAGACCTCTATTCAATCAGCGATCTAAGATTCTAGAATCAAATGTAAATTCCTCCAACATTTGAAGCTCTTGCCCAATTAAATGAAATATTTTTTGTTGGCAGTGGTTGTACAGTGGTTAGCGCGACAGGCTTGGAGTCAGGAAGACTCCTCTTCCTGAGTTCAAAGCCAGCCTCAGATACTTACTAGCTCTGTGACCCTGGGCAAGTCACTTAACCCCGGTTGCCTCAGTTTCTTCCTCTGTAAAATGAGCTAGAGAAGGAAATGGCAAACCAGACTAGTATCTTTGCCAAGAAGACCCCGAATAGGGTCATGAGGAGTTGGACACGACTGGAACTACTGAACACCAACACTCCATCAGGCTCAGATCCTATTCTGTCTCTTATGTCCAGGAATATCTGTTTGTGCTCAGCAGAGTGGCTGATATGTGGCACACGCTAATGCTTGGCCCTTCCCCTCCCTCTTCACAGCCCGTCATGTCTTCTCACATTTCACTCCCATCCGTGCACTCCTTCTCTAGTCCAGCCAGACGGGCATCCTTCCTGTGTCACAGCCACAGTGCTCCCTCTCCCAGCTCTAGGACTTTGCACTGTCTGCCCCTTGTGCCCGGCAGCCTTTCCCTCCCTCACCTCTACCTCTTAGAATCCCTGGCTTCCTTGGAGACTCATTTCAGACACCACCTTTCTGCAGACCCTTCCTGGTCCCCAGCAGCTGCTAGATCCTTCCCTCTGGGTTTACCTTGTATGCCTCTGCCTGTATCCTGTCTATGTGCCTGTCTCTGCACGTATCTTTGTGACAATGTAAGCTCCTTGAGGCAGGGGCTGATTTTACCTTTCTGTACTCTCAGCTCTTTGCCTGGTGCCTGGCATGGGTTGTTGTTATTCAGATGTTTGGGTTGTCTCTTCGTGACCCCATTTGGGATTTCCTTGGCAAAGATACTGGAATGGCTTGTCATTTCCTTCTCCAGCCCATTTGGCAGATGAGGAAACTGAGGCAAACAGGGTGAAGTGGCTTGTTCAGGGTCACCCAGCTAGTAAATGCTTGAGGCCAGTTTTGAACTCGGGAAGATGAGTCTTCTTGACTTCAGGCCTGGTGCTGTATCCACTGGGCCACTCTATCCTGGAACATAGTAAATGGGTAATAAATGCTCATTGATTGATTGCAAGGCCCTGAGCTCGTTGCTGAAGGTCAAAAAGAGATTGGTCACTGGTCTTGCTTTGAAGGAGTTTATAGTTAAGTTGGGGGTGGGTGAGGTGGGAGTAGGCAAATGACCAAAACAGAAGGAATCCAGATCAGAAGGGATCAAGGAAGGCTTCAAGGAAGAGGTGTGTGGATCATCATACTTAGGAATGCACATGCTCTTTCTTACCCTGGTTCCCCACTGGAGGCCCCTGGGTGACTCAGTGGATGGAATGCTGGGCCTTGAGTCAGGAAGAACTGAGTTTAAATCCAGCATCAGATTCTTACTGGCTGTGTGACTCTGGGCAAGTCACTTAACCTCTGTTTGCCTCAGTTTCCTCAATTGTAAAATGGAGATAATAGTACCTACCTGCCAAGGTTGTTGTGAGGATCAAAGGAGGTAACATTTGTAAAGTGCTTACCACAGTTCCTGGCACATAACTGTTATTTATCTTTCATTTTCAGAGTGATGTGACGGGTGATGTCTTGACTTGCTCGTGAAGTGCCTGGCATATAGTCGGTGGCTAATTAATGCTCATTCTCTTTCCTTCCCTATTAGACTGTAAGCTGCTTGAGGAAGAGGGCTGTGTCATTCATCTTTGCATACACATTGCCTAGCCCTGTGACCTGCATGTGTATCACAGATCTGGGATTTTTGTCCCATGAGACCTCTCACCCGTACAAAGATCCCAGCCCTTCTAAGGCTTAGTCAATGGACCTTGAGAGTGGATGCGGCTGGAACAGGTATCACTCTGTGGCTAGCCTGGAAGCTGATCATGGCATCATTGGGTCATATTCCAGAGTTGGGAGGGTCATTCGAGCTCCTCCGTTCCTACCGCCTCATTTTACACAGGAGGAGACTGAGGCTAGGGGGATCACAGACCTGGCAGGACCTGGGAGGTCATGCAGCCTCACCCCTTTGTTTGAGGGCTGAGGAAGTGGTAAGGGGCAGCAGTGATATCAGAACCCAGCCATCTGCTTCTCCACTTCATCATGTCGGCTTGAGCAGCAGTCATAACCACATGTTAGAACCTGTCTGGGCTCATGCTCTCCTGGAATAGCCTTCCAGCAACCAGGGTCACATCCAGGCTCCAGTGAGGCATTTCATTAGAGGCTTTGTATACAGTACATGCTTAATGTCTGCTGAATTAAGTTCGGACTAGAAAGGAGGGACTCTAGGAGATGGATATAGGGGCTGGGATGGGGCGGGTCCATTCCAAGCATGGCTGGGAGGAGAAATCAATCAATCAATCAACAAGCGTGTATGAAGCACCTACTGCGGGCCAGACTTTGTTCGAGGCAGTTCCTGTTCTCCAGGAGCTTCCATTCTACTGGGGGAACAGCCCATCCATGGACAGTTACACACAGTCACAAAGGGAGGCACAGACTAAGGTGTGGAGACTGGGGGCGAGGGAGACAAGGCGACACAGGAGAGGGTGGGAAGTAAGGAGTCACCCTGCACTGGGATATTGGGGCTTGGAGGACGCAGTTTAATGGGCAGGAACAAAAGCTAGCTAGCTGCCTTCTACTCCAGTGCCTCAGTTCCTCCTGCAGGTTTTCGGCTTTTTCTTTCGATCATGCCTATAGAGGGAGCAAATACATGCGAAGGTTTCTTTGTGGGGTTGGTCACTATGGATTCCCGGGCAGCTGGAGGATGACATGGACGCTGCTGTCTGCCTGGGGAGCTGCCTGTCCATTTATTTCCTCACTTATTCATTCAACAAACTACGGGCCAGGCACTACGACAGGAGCTAAGATGCATCTCAGCCCTCGAAAGCTTCAGTCTGGTAAGGGTGAGAGGAAGACAAGGGTACACAGAACCATGAGGCAAGATGGTAAGTATGTGAAAAGACAGAGGAGATGGCTGCTAGCCAGAGGGAGCATGGGAAGGAAGCTCCATGGAGCTAGGCCTTGAAGGATGGGCAGGAAGAACACTAGCTCAAGAGTCAGACGACCTGGATTCAATGCTTACTGCCTAGGCGACCCTTGGGCAAGCAAATCACTTAAGCTTTCTGTGACTTGGTTTCCCCATCTTGAAAGCAAAAACATTGGACTGAATGGACTCTGAGGTCCCTGGGACTGTAGAAGGCCTTGAATGCCAAATTGAGGGAAATGGACTTTATTCAGTAGGGGAGGGAAGAGAAGAAGGAAGAAAAGAAGGGGGGAAGAGGGAAGGAGGAGAAAGGAAAGAGAAAGAAAGAGGGAGAAAGTAAGGGAGAGAGAAAGAGAGGGGGGAAGGGAGGAAAAGAGTGAAATAGGAAAGAAAAGGTGGGAGGGAGGGAAGAAGGAAGGAGAAAAAGGGAGGAAAGAAAGGAGGGAGGAAAAGTGCAAAAAGAGAGAAGAGGGAGAAAGTAAAGGAGGGAGAGAGGGAGGGAGGGAAAGAGGAAAGAAAAGCGAAGGTGGGAGGGAAGAAGGAAGGAGAAAAAGGGAGGAAAGAAAGGAGGAGGGAGGGAAAGAGAAAAGAAGGAGAAAGGAAGAGAAAGAAAGAGGGAGAAAGTAAGGGAGGAAGAAAGAGAGGGAGGGAGGGAGGAAAAGAGCGAAATAGGAAAGAGGGGGGAAGGGAGGGAGAGAAGGAAGGAAGAAAAAGGGAGGAAAGAAAGGGAGGAAGAAAAGGATGGAAGGAAGGGAGGTAAAGAGAGAGGGAGGGAAGGAAGGAAGGAGGAAAAAGGGGAGGAAAGAAAGGAGGAAGGGAGGGAGGAAGAAAAGGACAGAAGGAAGAAAGAAGAGAGGGAAAGAGGAAGAAAGAAAAGGAAGCAAGAAGGAAGTGTTAGAGTTGTTGGGATTTGAACCCAGAGCTTCAGTCTGCTGGTCAGGTGCTTTTTCCAGCATAACCTCCATATCTCAGCAGCAATGTGCATTTTGTTGCATCTTCTCTTCATAAAGAGAAGGCACACACTCCCAGAGTTACTGTTCACGTTACCGTACAGCTCAGAAAATCCCAGAGGGGGAGATGGAAGGCACCTCAGTGTTCATCTCGTCCAAACACCTGAAAGAACTCCCACTATAACACACATGACAAATGGAAGCCAATCTTTCCCCCCAAACCTCCAAAGATGGCGTACCAGATGAACACCGAAGGGGAAATCAGGAAGACACGAATTCGAATCCTACCTCAGACTGTTAGCCATGTGACCGTGGTCAAGTCACTGACGTCTCTCATCATTTTCCTCATCTCTAAAATAAGGATGACATCATCTACCTCACGGGGCTGTTTTGGGGCCAACTGAGCAAAGTGCTTAGCAAACCTTAAAGCGCTATGTGACAATATAATGGAACCCAGCATGTGTGTCGGCCCTAACCCAGTTCAGTCAGTGACTTTCCCTCTGAGAAGCCGCATCGCCTCCCCTGTGCAGGGTAAGAAAGATCTCTTTCCCAACTGAGCCGAGTTTAGGTTTTACTTCCTTTGGTCTGTGGCAGCAAAAGGCAGGGACGATGAAATGAGGCACGGGGTCGCATGCCTACTTGTACTGTGTTTATCTGGGTGTATCTCACTTTGAGCAAGCTAAACATTGCCAAGGTTGGATTTACAAAAGCAGATAAATTAGGGATGTGGGGGTGGTGTTTTACAAAAGGATTTATATAATGTTCCTTAGGTCCAGAGTGAATTGAAGACAGCATTAGACAAGGACTCAGTTTTACACTCCTATTCTATGAAATGGGAGACCCGGAACCAGAAGAAGTTTCACAGACAGAAGGAGGCAAAGGGAGTGGCTTCCCTTCCCGGCCCATCCTGTCCAGTTTGTCCCATCTCACTCCCAAGAAGAGGCAGGCTGTTGCGAGGAAAGCTGGAGAAGAGTCTTTGGTAACCCCATCTTCTGGGCAGAACTTCAGGGAAGGGGTAGGGGAACCCTCAGAAGGCCTCTCCATCCTTCTAGGCAGGACTTTGGCACCAAAGACTTTGCTTCAACAGCCTTTCTTCGTCCCAGTGCCAGGTGGTCCTTCTGGCTGGCCTCCCCTTTGAGCCACACGTCCCTGTCAGCCCCACAGGGGCTCTTCCTACCAGGGGGCACGAGGCATTACGAGTGACGCCATCACACAGCTGCAGCTGGGGAAGAAGAGGGAGGGTCAAGTCAGAGGCTGCCCACCAGTGGCACCCATCTGCAATCTGCATCTGCGGAGGGAGGGCCCCCACCAGTGACAGCACAGCTCCATGAAGTATCGGAGAATTCATATTATCATCATTACACAAAGAGAGGCAATGTAATATGGTGAAAACAATGCTGGGCTTAAAGTCCCAACTATAAGTTAGTAGCTGTGGACCAGTCATGAACCTCAGTTTACTCCTCTGTAAAATGGGGATGAGGAGTCCTAAACTCCTCCCATGGCCGTTTTCAGAAAAGTACTTTCTGTAAACTGTAAAGTGCTATGGAAACATCAGCTGTTGGTCTCATAGTATTATCATCCTTGACACTTATTTCCTGCTCTCTAACCTCTAATCCTTGAGCCCTAAAGCTTATGGACAGTACTGCTCACTGTGCTAAGACCTTCTAAGCCATTAAAAATCCTCTTCTTTGCAGAGGTGGGGGACTATGGGTATGGAGAATTGCATATACCCGTTAATGTGTTGATTAGTTTTTATTTTATTCTGATGAAGGATGGCTTAATGTGGAGGAGAGAGGGAAAGGACATCTCTAGAAATGAGAGTGATTAAAAAACAATATCAATCGACATTCAGAAAGAAGAGCATAAAAATAACACACTTTGAAAAGGCTTCTTAAACTCCTCCTGGCACTCCTCCCCAGCCTCTAGCTCACCAAAAGAAGCCAATGCCCAAACACAGGGCCTCTTGGGGGAGGGAAGGGGGGAGCAGAGGCAAAGATGCTTCAATCCTTTCTTTCCCCCATCCACAACTCAAATACTTTTGAGCTCACGGTCCAATCCTAACTTCCGCTGATCCATTCCTTCCTGGGAGAATGAGCTCTCCCTACAGTGCAGAGAGACACTCGTATTTTCAGTCAATTCTTTTGTGTCAAGAAGTGGACATTCACTCACCTGTGGCCTGTGTTATACATGAGATCTTGTAGGATAACCAGATGCTTGCCGTGCACAGGAAAGTAGCCAGGAACCCAAAGACCTGTGGACGAGGAGAAAAAGAGAGGCAAGGACATTTGTCCCCAGTTCTGATGCTAACTAGCCTCACAATGGTTCCCAGGCTTCTCAGGCCCAAATGCTGGGCCTTTATCACCCCAATGGACATCACTTTTCTCTTGGTTCTGGGCTATGTGGAAACGGTCAAGAGGACCCAGGTAAATGCTGGTTCTATCACTTACTAGGACCTTGGGCAAACTTCAGCTTGCTGGCCTCAGTCTCCTCAACTGTAAAATGGGAAGGTTGGACTACATGGCCTAAGAGGGTCCTTCATGCTCCAAATCTAGGAAGCTCCGTGTATGTGTGCGTGTATATGTGTGAGTTATGTGTATGCGTCTGCGTGTGTGTGTGTGTGTGTGTGTGTGTGTGTGTGTGTGTGTAATCAGACCTGGGATTTCATCAATGTAAGGAAATCCTGATGAGGAGCTCCCTCTATCATTAATGCAGAGAAAGATTAAAGCAGGTTCTGTGAATTAAAAAATTCAAAATAATTTATAATTATTTCAGTATAATTGGCTTCCTTTGCCATCTGACGTATTTTATTTCATGCATTTAAAAATATGACTCTGAGAAGGGGTCCTAAGGCTTCCCTGGGCTGCCCCGAGGGCCTGACACACAAGAAAGGTTAAGAACTTCTGTGTTAGAGCTGTCTGGGACCCTGTGACCATCAGTCACTTGCTCAGTCACACAGCTAATGTAAGTCAGGGGCAGGACTTTGCTCTGGGTCTTCCAGATTTTGGGATCCACTGCAGCTTTTCTCATAATTCTTCTCAAAGGATGGAGGATTTTTTCAGTGCAGTTGAAAATGAAAACGATGGACCTGCACATAGAGGGCCCAACAGAAAGAGTGCTGGACCTGAAGTCTGGAGGACCCAGGTTCAAATCCAGCTTCAGACACCCATTAGCTGTGTGAACCTAAGGCTCATTAGATGGCGTGCTCTGGTCACACAGACCAAATCAGATAACAGAAGGCGCTTTGCCGTAGCAGGGCCAGCTATGAGCATCTCTGGCTCAGCGAGGCTGGGCTGAGGGCAGCGGATGCACCAGGCCCATCCTGCCGTGACAGCCCTTCAGCAGCCCAAGGCGGGGCCCTGTCCTGAACAGCTGGGCACTACCCAACAGCCGCTGCCATCAGCACAAGCTCACCTGTCCCTGCCTCGATTCCTCTGGTACTCACTGCGTGGCCCACAATCCTACGGATGCTTCTCTTACTGTAAGCTGGTGTCTTCTCCAACTGTCCGCATCACCACATCATTCTGTTCTACTAACTGTTCCCTGGGTCTGCTCTACCCAGATAAAAGAGGAGGCCCTCCCAAGCAGGGATGGTGACGATGATGAGGATGATGGTGATGGTGGTGGCGGTGATGATGACAGATAGTTATACAGCCCTTTTAAGCTTTGCGAAACACTTTACATCTATTACCTAATTTGATCCTTACAACAACCCTGTAAAGTACGTACTATTATGATTTTACATTAAGGAAACTGAAGCTGGAAGAGGTTCGGTGACTAGCCCAGGGTCATACAGCTATTTGTATGAGGCAGAATTTGAACTCAGGTCTTCCCACTCCAAGTCTGTCTGCCGTGTCCCCTAGATGACTCGCGTCCTACACAGGCTTTTCCCAAAGGCGCAGTGCTTACGACAGCCCTAAGAGCCTGGAGGTGTTTTGTGTCCCAGGGCTATATAGCATGTGCTTGGTCAGACTGAAAGACAGGGTGGTTAGGCTGCTTGATGAAGTCTGGAAGACTTGAGTCCAAAGCCCACTATCCGTGTGATGTGACCCTGATATGACCCTCAGTTTCCTTATCTGTAAAATGGGGACAACCATAGTGTCCCAAGGCTGTTGGATGAGACTTGAGTGAAATCACACATGGACAGTGCTCTATAAACCTTAAAGTATTAGGTAAAATCCAGTTCTTTACCATCTCAGAGGGCACTGGGCTCAAATCAGGACAATCAGGAACAAATTGTCCTGGGAAAGTTACCTAACCTTTCTAAGCCTTGGTTCCTGCCTCTGTGAAATGAGGACACAAATAACCACAACTTCCCAGAGTTCCTGGGAGACTCAGATGAGACAAGAGCACTTTAACAGCTCCACAGCAGCACGTAAAGGCTAGCTTTTGTTGGTGTTAGCTGCAGTTGGAGCTTTTCCCAATCTCTCTTAATTCTAGTCCCTTCTCTCTCTCACTCACTTTCTATTTATCCTGTATTTAGCCTCCTGGTACATCATTTTCCCTGTTGTCTCCTCTCCCCCTTCCCCTGCCTTTCCCCCCATTAGACTGTGAGCTTCTTAAGGGCATGTATACTCTGTCACTCTTTTTTGTATACTCAGCCATTAGCACAGTGCCTGGCACATAGTAGGGTGCTTAATAAATGTTTATTGACTATTGACTATGGACTGTGGGACTCGGAGCCTAGAGGACCTGGTTTCAAATGCTTCTTATGGCACTGATGAGCTGTGTGACTCTGGGAAGTCACTTAAATTCTCTGACTCACTTTTCTCATCTATAAAATAACATGCTTAGATAAGAGTGTCTCTAGGACGGGGTTGGGCTAGATGGCCCTACTGTCCCTTTCAGTTCTATATCTATGCTTCTGTTATCCACAGGAAGGGAGGAAGCTCAGGCTGTCCCAGGTCAAAAAAGCAGGAGAGTGGCTGAGTGTTGGGGGGCTCGTCCAAGAGAAGGCTCCTCACCGCTCCAGCCACGAGGCCACCTATGCCGTGACTCTTGGATGCTGCCACGATGGATGCAATCAGCAGGAGGATTGTCCCAATTAAGTAATGGAGAAATTCCTGGAGGGGAGAAAGAGGTAGAGCAGTGGGTAGGCTGGCCTGGGAGGGTCTGTCCCTCGGGCATTGCTCATGGGGTGTTGGGTGGGGTACCCGCAACATCAGGGAAAATGAAAACCAAGAGAGGGAGTTGTCCCCTAACTCCAGCACAACCCTATTCAGGTGTAACATGAGACAAGCCAGGAGATAAGAGAGAAAATCTGAGGGAGGAAAGGCAAGGGGACAGAATGAAAACTAAATTCATCAAACCAGCCGCCAACAGCTGCTTCATTCTCCACTTTGTTCTTTCAGAAGATGATTCTGTCTTTGCAGAGAATCACAAACGATCTTCTTCCCTTTCCCTGTCTCCAGGCAGCTAAAGCTTTCAAGGAAGGCATTAGTTTCATTCCCAGGGGGCAGAGGTCCCTTGCAAAACAGCTCTGGGTCTTTTCTGCCTTTAGAAAAAGTTCCTGGCAGAACAGGGATCTAGAAGCAGCCTAACCGTGCCCATAATTCTTGTCTCTGACCACAGAGAGCCTGCTGAGTCCACCAACAGCCCAGTATGCTGCCACAGGGAGAAGTTCAAGGCCTTTTGCCACACTGTCCTCTCCAGGCTAAAATCCCCAGTTCCTTCTTTCATCTATAAAATGGGGTGAGAGTAGCAGCTATCTCAAAGAGTTACTGCAGAAATAATAGATGAGCCTCAGGCAGAATTTAGAAAGGAGCCAGCTGTGGTCTGTGAAGCACCCAGCATGGGCCAATGGTGTTTCCTCACTCCTAGGCTCGGCTAGGATGCTCCTCACCCTGTCTCCCCTGAGTTTGGGCTGAATCCCAGAAATGGAAGGGACCTCAGGGGCCTCTAGTTTAATCTGGACCTGAGCAAGAGACCCCTCTACACTGGACCCATGAAAGGGCCAATCAGCCTTTGCTTGAAGACTTCCCCAGGCCATCTGGGCACAACTCCAACTGTTGGGAAGTTTTCTCTGTTGTCCAGCTTAAATCTGTCTCTCTTGTAACTTCTGTGCCTTTTTTGGGGTGGGGAGGAGAGGGGAGGGTGGGGGTGTGTGTGTCAAACAGAATGAATCTAATCGCTTGTAATAACTCTTCAAATATCTGAATCTAAATATGGCTATCATGACCTTCTCCCTCATCACCTCAGCCCTGCAAGAGTTCTCTTCTCCAAGTTAAAATCCCTAGTTCCTTCAAATAGAACTCCAGACATAGCTTAGTGGGTAGTGCTGGACTCAGGAGTCTTTTAATCCCATCTCAGATAAAGACTAGTTATATGACCC